CGGGTGCATGTGATGCCAACGGTATATGTTGGGATAATTAAAACGAACTTTTTTTTATTATTTATTACACACAAATAAGAAAATGATAAACAAAATAAAAATATATTTTTCTTTTTCGCACTCTTCTTATAAACGTTTTACCGCTTTTGCCTCGCCTTTTTTTTATGTGCACGACAAGTTCCTTTTTCTTTTTTCGCGAACAAAAAGCTAATTACTCCCCCCTCCATCCATTCACAGCTCCGTGCTAAACAAAGCGGGGAACAGTGACAGTGGCTCTGTATCGTAGCCGAAAGTAACACGATCACAATGCTTTGGCACTCTTTTTCACTTTCTGTGTTCGCCTAAATTGCCAAAGCAATTGTCAAGAAAAAAATTGTTATCGAGGATATGGTCGGTTATTTTATAAGAGGCAACGCCAGAGCATACGCCAGCAGACCTGTATAATTGTCAGATCTGTAAAAAATTGGAATGTTTTTTTTTTCAGCTGTTCGTCTCTCTCACTCTTCCTGCACGTAGCTTATCACAACACAATTTTCTTATCATTTTGGGTTTCACCTGGATCGAAAAGCTTGCACTAATCTTTCCGATGTGCCTGCCTTTAAAGCGTGATTCTTGTAACAGCTCTTTCCCTCCCCTTACACCTTCACTTCTCTCTTCCTTTTCTTATTTAACTTTACTTCGTTACATATTTTCAAGGTATGCGTTACCTATTTGAAAGTGATGATCGCTCACCAAAGATATCAGGGGGACCTGTTGAAGATATGATATATTTGCTCTACCAAAACATGCACGCACCCACACACACAGGGATGCTGTGTTTTCCAGGCCAAGCGATTCGTTACTTATATATGACTTTTGCGGCTCGCAAACAATAAACCCGAGTATTGATTGAAGCCTTTTCCTTCGTATCGAGAAGTCGATGGTTTTAGAAAGAGCCTGTTCTAATGTGTATCTGCGTATCGCTATGATAGCATAGATTTAATGAAGTTACTGGTGGTTACAATAGATCAATCTTCAGGGTCCCCCTTTTCCAAATAAAATTCAGGTGAGCTACCTGGTTCGACTTGCTTTTCCTTTGTCGGACATATTATTTCACGAGTCCGGATTATGTTATACAGGCTTTGTTCGATTAAAAGCCTCGTGCCAAATTTCTTTTCGCGCGTCCCCTTTCACATACACGTAATATGACTGATTTGATCTCGATTTTGCCTCCCGAATCATTCAGTACATCTTCTCGTTTATCGGACAGCGGGCTGTGTCGAATGTGTGAAAGTATGTCGCCGCTGGTTATACGCGATCCCCACTTACCAGACAGCCCTGTGGACACTGGTGGGAATCTCGCCTGATGCATGGAACAAAAGGAGCGACGCGATGCTTCAATGTTTGGGACAACAAGTCGAATCAGTATACATCAAATCTCAAGCCACGTATAAAGTACTGGAACGACTTGCTTGGCGAAGATACAGCATTCGCTTCCTTGGTGAAGTAAAACGATACTCTTTTTTTTTGCGTTAAGAGGATCGCGTATTCGGTAGTACTTACTACTGCTTATGCGCAAAAGATATACTAAAGCTTTTTCTTTGTTTTCAATAAAAAAAAATAAGACATCAGCAACCATGTGCATAGCAAACAATTACAACCTATTTTCGACAGTAGCACGTTACTGCCAGGATTCATCAGATATTTCTCGCATACGCTAACTGCTCTGACGATTTCATTTCACACTTGCGATATCTCGCTGCCAATGCTACTGGACTTCTTGCCGTCATTAACGCATCTTTCAGTGATGTTTGATGGCCGCACTAACTTATCAGACGCTACTCTTGAACAAGTTGATGGCAGAAGCAGACACAAAAGGCCACCGATACACAACATTATCTTCTTAAGACTGGACGGTGTTCTCAGTTTTAAATACCGGATCCGTCCCTTATTGCAGCGTTGCTCCCACATCAAGTACTTGATATTATCGCCTTACTCACGATTCAACAACGTATCTCCAACCAACATCTATACAGCTTATGAGCTGTGCCCTCTATTACGCTACATTATGTGGGAATGCAGCGAACCAGTCATAGCAGACAGATGGATTTCACTATCAAGAAGCACGAGTGCTTATATTAAGTAACTGAAAGGAAAGCATCGAATGATGGCGAGGAAGGCAGTATGGCTTATGAACTGCTATTCAACGGCAAGGGACACGAGAGGATCATGCCGATAGTAGTAAAATCGCAGCCGATACTAGAACATTTACGTATAGTCGCCTGTGGTCTTTCTGATATTCATTGCTGAGATGTCTTGGCACGCAACCAATTCACACAGCTGACAAGTTTGGGGTTGACGGACATCACTGGTATGTCAAGCGAAGATTGGTCCCAGATTTTGCTCATGCAGCAACAAAATGAGATCTTGGAAGTTGGAAATCGCGCTGGAATAACGCAGTATCTGAACTGCATTATCGCAACCATCGGTACGCTGCAACGGCTCCGTATACTTTCCTTGCGAAATTTCCTTCACATGTTCAGCGAGAATCCTCTTTGCGATCTTACTCCGCTTCGACGTTTGCAACAGCTTGGAAAAAATGCGTCTCACGAACATACTCATCGACAACCAAGGTCTAATGCAGTTGTGCGAACCATCACAGCACCCACTAGTCAGGAGATTAAGCTTGAACCCGCACATCACCGTACAGTAATAGTGTCGACGACTTTCTCACAGAGGCAGGATGGATTGTGTGGGCACAACGACTTGAGGAAACCAAAATACTGAATCTGGAACTGACAGCCGTGAAAGGTGTTACTGGTGCTGTCCTTGAGCATTTTGAACAAGTCGAAAGCTCGGTGCTATTGCGTGTTTCACGGATCTATAGTCTCACCAATGCAGGCATCAATGCTTTTCGTATCATTAAAGGATCTAGTAAAAAGATTGAAGTCGTGGGGTGTTCAGGATTATCTCGGACAGATGATCTTCGTATGCCATACAACATATTTTTAATAATTGAGTACCATTGCGGTGATATTTGCAGTCTGGCTTGTACTTTTATTTATAATGAGCTGATAAACAATATTGGCAGCATGTTTAATTAATCAGTTTTCCAGGTTGGATTGTTGTGATATCTGTATAGTCAAGCATCGATTTGAAATGTTTACATATACACTTACTAGATCCAGGATTGATGGAAAGGCAGCACGATGTGGATCTGGTCGGCAGCGAGTCTGGTGCCCTTTCAAACGGGAGCGCGAATTTTTACGTACTTCCATTTTCGGCGATTGCAGGTAAAGCAGTCGCTCTGGCAGGAAAACCGGTCTCTTTTTTCTGAGCGCGTTCCTTGACTACTTACACTCACTAGTCATACAATCATACTAACACAAATCTTTACGTACATCAACCTTTACGTACCTTTAAAACATAGTGTGGGCTTTCTTGCCCTTCCGTGAAATTTGATTATATATACAAAATCTTCAAAGTAATAACAACAACATGTATGGTCCTTTTAGCGCTCAAGGTACTTAAAAATCATATACAGCAGGTACGTAAAATCGGAAGTATGTAACTCCAAAATGAGAAGTACGTAAAATTTTATAGGTTAAATATACAGCGCGAGAACTGATTTACTGTAAGGTGCGAACAGGGACAAGACAACACAAGGCCAGAAACACCGGACGAGAATGTGCTATGTGCTTTCGGCAAGAACAGGACAAGACAAGAAGGAAGCCAGAAGGCAGGAAACCAGATAGTGAGGAAAGAAACAAGAACAAGGTATAGGGAGGAAACAAGATAACTGACTGATGTTTTATCGTTCAAAGACTATGATATATATATATATATATATATATATATGTCTTTACTATAGAATTCAATGATGTGAATAAACGGAAAGATTGGTATTAAGGTCGATAATTCGGATGATGATGATAGATGGGGATTTAATATGTCATCAACGAGGTTGAGGATGATCACTTACTAGAGGTCGAAGAATGTTTATGACATTTATGTACTTCGGTGGCCAAGTACATAAATTTTTGCATAAAAAGTAAGGTGAAGTACGTAAAAAATTTACAGTAGCCATCGTAGCTGCGACGGTTATACAGAGTCAAAGTATGATAGGCTACATCAATGGTAGCTATTTGTATGATCTACTCAAACGAGGCACAAAAAAGACAAGAAGTACGTAAAATTCCCAAATAGGAAGTACATAAAATCTTATAGTACAAATATACAGCGTCAGAAGCGATTTACGTACTTGAGTGGCTAAGTACATAAAAACTTGGAGGCTAAGTACGTAAAAATCCAAAAAAGGAAGGTGAAGTACGTAAAAATTTACAGTACCCCTTTCAAACCTGAGCGAAAGCACAGACTAATTTTTTTTGGTTACCCTATGCTTTCCTTATATATCAGAAATGCTTGTGTACCTCTTTTCGTCACAAAAGGGATCACCTCGCACTCTATATGATATAGTCTCTGTGACAGAAGAGAGAAAAAAAAATGAAGTGAGAATATTCTTTCTTCCGTTGTTGAATAGAAAGACCATCGTCGCCTCCTCCCCTCTCCCTTTATGACCAAAAAAAAGCAGTCTGTATGCTGTATGTATGCGCATACGCGCGTTCCTGTTCATGTCGGGCAGTGGATTTTTAATGCCCGGTATTTGGATTTCATTGGCCAACGTGCTGCTGCAACTATACTCGAACCGCTTTGAGAGTTATACTACGCAGAGGACTTATTGGAGTCAAGTTTACTGACAAAGGTCAATATTTATGGTAAGCGGGAACATTATCATCTTCCACATGCTAGGATATATACGGGATCAAGAACATCTTGAAATATAGCGATTCCCGGAAAGTGTTCCTCATATTTTCTGGGCAAATTCTAACTACAGTACTTTGTCTGTTTAAACTCTATATGTAACAAACTCATGAGCAGTTGTTCAGTAAATGAACCCAGTGTCTTAAGCTTGATGCTTACCAAACGAACAACAATACGATAGCAAGCTCAAAACGCCAGAGAAAAGGCAAGCCTGATACAAGACGCTGGAGTGCTACTGTGTGCTGTCAACCAAGATATAAACATCACCCTAGTAAGCTTCCTGGATCCCAACTCCGCTCAATGGATTGGATAGCATTGTAATACCCTGCAGATGCGGTAACGAATAAACAACAGCATTCAGGATGTCTAGATTATATAACTAAAGTCATCCTGGCAATAGCAACATAGAGAGCAAAAGCTAGTTCAGTCTTCCTTACTCTCAAAGAAAGAAAAAAAGAGATGCAAACGAATTATTGAAAAGTAATATGCAAAAGGCAACCATGACTGAATCAACCCACACTTGTGACAAGCATTTACTGTAGCAAGCTCAAAAAAGCAATATATAAACTACTTTCATATAGTTGTAACATTCCACTGTTAAAGAACCAAACTGCATTTCAAACTAAAAGGATGGATAGTACTGTATTTAGAGTAGATATCGCTTTTTAAGTGTAGGAAAAGATACTACAACCCGTATTATGTATGGCTGCATATGTGCGTGCATATTATGTCTGATAGAAGGCAAGGGAGAAAGCGATGACAGAAAGGCACCATGCTCGATATGTGCAAACTTAATCGACGGGTCAATTGAAAATGGCCAGTTGAATCTCATAGTAGTACGTTATGAATGAGCTGTGTTACGGTTGGCAAGGCATAGTACGTCATACTAAAAGCGCTGTGAGCGATGACGAACCATGTAGCAATGATATCGTATTATATTGTCGAAGGAAGTGCATTATCAGAGGAAGCTGTTGATTTATTTAAGTGCACCCCTCTTGATACCCCGTCATCAAGTGTACATCAAAAGAGTTGTAGTAGAAAGAAGTTATATAGATACCATAGATTAATAATTCTGATGATGCATAGTTAAAGTCTTCCCAATAAAATGATTATAATACTTAATGTGAAGGGACGGTCGTCAACAAAGAAGCAGTATCTTGGAGGGACCGCACGGTTCAGCTCGGTTCAATTCTTGGAGGGGACTTAACCGAACCATCCAAAGTAAGAACCGAACCGACTAGAACCGACGAGAACCGTAGAACTGAAGAATTGAACTGAAAAACCGAACCCATAATGATTGTTTGCTTTTCTGCATACCCAACCAAAAACCCATACTTTTTAAAAAATATAAACAAGACAATTCTACCTTTGCTAATAGAATTTGAAGCGTTTGAATAGCATTTAGTTGGATTAGGAGTTCCATGTATATATTAGCAGGTACATCCAGCTGGCTTAGGGCTTTCTTTCGAAGGGCAAATGATACAACGTCAAAAAGAATTCGGAATACATGATGGAGCACAACTACAAGCGATAGAAAAGTAGCTGTTTTCGAGAAGGAGCATGCATTTGTAGAAGGTTTCTCCAGAGTAAGTCTTATCACACATCGCCAAACTTTTAATTGCCGTCGATACCCCAAACATATGCTTTACAACTGTCTATTAACTGTACGTTGGTAGGCTTGCCACGGTATGGCCATGCGTGTCCTTCAAGCATTTGCAGTTGCACTCGAGGTATGTGTATTCTCGTGATAACAAATAAAAAGCTCTTTTTCCATGCTCTTACATGTGCTTTTGTCGTACGATTCGCTATCACCGAACAGATCCCGGAAGAAGAAGACGGAGCCAATTGGTTTACCGATCGTCACGCTTACGATGATCAAGATCCTCCGTTATTTGAAATATCCACGCGGCGGTGAATCCACTTACCAGGAGCCCGTGAGAGCTGGAGCACATAGTGATTACGGCAGCATCACACTTTTATTCCAAAAAGATGTTCCCGGTCTTGAGGTGAAGGCCAGTCGCACAGAATGAATTTCTGCACCTCTGATCGAGAACTCGATCTTGGTGAACGTGGGCGATCAGATGCAGGAATGGACAAACGGAATATTCAAAAGTACGTTGCACAGAGTCACCTTTTTACCCGAGCATGCGCATCTCGACCGGTACTCGATGCCTTTCTTTGTTCACCCTGAGGATGCTACTTTATTGTCGCCTATTCCTAGCAAGGTGGTGCCTCCACCCTCAGAGTCTACCCAAGGGGTTGCAAAGAGCGGCGAAATCAATACTGCTGGAGAGCATCTGCGAAGACGATTGGATGCTACGTACAAGCATGAAGACGAAGCTACGGAGTAGTAGGAGGAACTTTATAAACTTCATTGTTGTATAAATACATATATTACCAAACATAATGAATAAACCACGTTTTATAATTCTGCTTCTAACTGAAACTGAACAATAATTGTACCACTATTACTGTGGACACCCGCTCTTACTCTTCCCAACAAAATGCAATCTTCACGCTTGCAGCAACAGGTTTTTTGCAATGTCAGAAAACCATATTGCAGCATCTGTTTTGTAGGGCTGCATTTTATCATAGGTAGAATATTCTCGTCACCAGCAACGCTTGTTGCAACTTATCAGAGGGTCAATTTAAGCTAATAATAGTATGGTAACTTATGCATGCTTTAGAGGTGTCATATATACTGTACTTGATACACAAAGATATTGCATGTAATGTTCGTTTATTGATAGAAATAAACTATGAACTAGCGAAAACCCTGTTTTATCTGAAAAATGAAAACGAGGGCAAAGATATCAAGCTAGCGGCATGTGGAGCTTTAGGTCGATGGTCAAAACAGTCAGCATAGTATCATTAAATAAATCATTTCAGAAATAGCAATGTAAGAAAGTGGCGAAATGACCCAAAGCTACGCTTTGGTTAAGCTCTGGTGTATCGGTATTACTAGGATTCTTGCCGGCTGTCAAAAAACAGAGAAACACTCCATGCTTTGCCAGTTACATTTACAGATACGTCGTCATGTCTCGACAACAAATGGATCAAAATGTTTTACCCGGCTCATGTCTTCCTACGACGTAATCAAAATTAATCATACTTTTGTTGTTCGTTGAGGATTTGGGCGCGCGTGCCATTGCTATTTGGATATGTTTACTTAATGAGATCTTTTATGAATTTGTATTCAGGACCAAAACAATTGTCAACCATGTTTACGACATTAACTAAAGAAGAAACGGCAGAAGACAGTAGTGCCACAGCAAGTCATGGCTTATTGTTGAAAGCTGGTTTTGTACGCCAGGTAAGAAAAGAAAGTTTACACACAGACGTTTGTGGGGGATAAGGGAAGAAAAAGGGGTAAACCTTATAGCGCTGAAGGACGTTATAAAGCTAAAAGATAAAGAGACGGTGCAATTATTTTATGTTACCATTGGGTCTTCGAACATTGGAAAAGATTGAAACGACTATTGATCAAGAGTAGAAAGCTATTGATAATTAACATTAATCATATCAGTAGCTGCTGTCTCACTTGCTAATTATGTACTTTCTTCCATATTACGTCGCTCATTTAAACGAAATGATAATAGGTAGTCAAAAGTTGTCACTACCAGTATTACTATTCGCCGAGAATTGGAAAAAGTCGGGTCGGTGGAACGCAGCTAATAAAGGAGAGGTATGTATGCGCGAAATGCATATATCCATGTAGCACTAAGTCATTAGGAGGGAGAAACGTCAACAAGGTAACATCAACATGCCCATGTGTACTCTTTGTCCCCACATTGTTCAGTTCTTTCGGTTAAAAGATCGATGAGATACCGACATGTTATTGTCGCCAACACATGAAGAAGAAATCACACAACTTGTTGCATCAGAACTCAAATCAGCCAAGCAACTACCTATACGACTTTATCAAATCGGCCGGAAATACCGTGATGAAGCTAGACCAAGAGCTGGCCTCTTGCGGGGCCGTGAATTTGTCATGAAGGATCTGTATACATTCGATGCATAAGTAGAAGATGTTTATGCTTCGTATGATCTCGTTGCCAAAGCATATCGAACATTTTTCAACGTATTGGTGTACCTTTTGTTGTGGTACGTTGTGCATTTCTACTACCATTAGACGAAGGAAGAACAAAATTGTTGACTATCTCTTTATGACTGATCACATCAACAGAAGAGGGACAGAACAAACGCATAAAGTCAAAGGAAAGGTCAAGAGAAAGCAAAAAGCGCAAAAAAAAAAGTGACGAAATCCAAAAAAGAGAAAAAGGGTTTGAGCGGTCTCCTCTTTCTTTTTTTTTATCCAACTTGCTCCTCTTCTTCCAATTTCACACCCTCTCTTTCCACAACTTTCCTTTTTTTTTATCAGTTCTGTACTTTGAGGTAAGATATCTACGCCTTCTTAAAGCACACTACAGCTAGTACAGCACAGACCTCGTCATCAAGCAGCCCTCCTACTGCTCCTTCTCTGACTATTATATTGCCTGACTCTGCTGCGCACTGAACACACATACTCACTCACTCACTTCTTTTTGTTATTCTACCGTACTTGAACGTCTTTTTCGTTTCTGTTATTACTCTGGAGAACCAGGCTAAACAAGAGCACCAGCACCAGCAACACTATCATCACACGCAAGTACACCAAACGCATCCGTCACAACAAGTAGTAGCTTTTACAGAGAGCGCCATGCCATCCTTGTCCTTGGTGCCTCCCGAATCATCCATTCAATTACAAGGTGAAAAAGACAAACAAACGGTTCTCTCTTCTTTCTATTCATATGCTACGTTACATTAGTCTAGTAGAAGCTAATGCAACTACACCTTGTGATTGTCTTACACAGGAAGTTTTCGATACTTGGGGAGCTACAAGAAGTATGATTGAGATGGGATTCTCCGGTAGTCGGCGCACGTTCGAAGTTGAATTCTTTGACCAACGTGTTGCCTTCCGAGTCACAGCTGAGCTGCACAATCATGCCTATCAGGTAAAAGTCTAAATGACTACGTATGGACCCTGCAAACTTTATATTCTCACAACACCAACCCTTTTTTTTTGTATTCAAATAGCTTGAGGGTATCTCTTTCCATGTCTGCAACGCTTGACTTGGTCCTACTAGTGGTAATGCTTTCGCTCCATCTAATGCTTCCGGTGCTGTCCACGCCCGGCAAACGAACAGCCATCATTGACCTCTGGAACCCCCCCCCCGGCGGAACGAATGATGACATTGTTGTTTTTATTGTTTCTGCTGTAATTGATTAGCCAATAAAGCGAAGACTTTGAACACGGCGAGAAAGAGGATATACAGAATGATAAAATAAGTCAGGGTGATGAATAAGTTGGAAAACTGGTGTTCAAGTTCCTGCATCTGGCGTTCTGCCCTTATTGTAAAGTTGGAGAAGAGGCTGGGTGGGGGTGGTAGTAACCATTCGACGAGGCGATCCCAAAGGGCGAATAGCGACCACGGCGAGGATGGTTCCATTTCACTGAAGGCAAGGATATTCATGAAGCTGATGATGTTGTAATAGCTCTTTGGTGAGAGGATATACTTTACTTTTCAGACGTCGATTTGAACAGATCTCTTTATATGATATAGTCTTCTTCCTACATGAAACTGCTCGAGAACAAGTGCGTAAATCATGCCACTCATTGATTTGTGGCGGTTCCAAAATAGAAAGTTGTTATCCTTTCATTCATTGATCCTCTTCTTCCCTAAGACCTATCTTATCGACCGCTATTGTTAGTGAGCAAAGAAACCCATCAGCCTGCTTGGGATTTACATGAGCAAATATAAAATGGTCTCTTTCTTCATGCATATCTACTGTATTTATTGTATGTTAGAGAAAATAACAACAAATATATTACAACAAGAGCAAGAATAAGCAGTACATACAGTAGCGGAGGTAGCAGCCGAATCTATCTTAATCTGTTTAACGATGCCATTCAGAACCATGATGGAGTGTGCTGCTGTCTTCACACCATATGTTTTGTCGCTCAATTTCGAAATACGTGCATGTGATGGGAAATTATGCATTGAGATATCTTAATGACCCTTAGTATCTGATTTGCTTGTGTACGTTGGTGTGTATTTTTTATTACAAAGTTAACCGAGAGAGAAAAGGAAAAAGAAAGGGTGAAGAGGGATGTGTATTATATATGTACGACTACTACTGCTACTTAAAAGCCTCCAAATTGCTGCTGTCCATTAGATGGCATGCCGCTAAACGTTGTTGCTCCAGTCATCATGGGCGATTGTTGTGGCATCGTATTACCGGCCGTCAGCATCAATGGATTGCCCATACCAGGTGCTCCTAATGCAGGCGCTGCTGCTGCTGCTTCATCATTTTCCTCTTGTTTTGCCATCTTCTCCTTGAGTTGTTCCACATCCTTGCCCAAGACATCAATCTAATAACAACAAAATTATTTAAATTTAGTATCGCAATTATCAATGGATTCTCTGTTGTATCAAGTACCTTTGTAAATTGCTCTCGCATAGTGTTGATCATATATGGCATAGCGAAATCCTTCAAACCGTGTCTCCATGAAAGCTCCATGACAACATCGGGTCGCATCAGATCGTAGCAAGAGTACAACATGGCTGCAAAGCATTCCCGTTTACCGACTTCGATAAAGTACTGTAACAATTCCTCAGCAACCTCACCGTCCTTGGATTCTGCAGCGGTCTCCATGGCATCCTTGAAAAGCTGGTCTTGCTTTGACAGTGCGATCGACTGGCGCCACCGTCGATTCTTCTTGTAAAGATGGGCTGCAATACGGCGGAACTCAAGAAGTTCGTGCTCCTGAAGGCGCTGTGCAATGTCGAGCGTATCAATATTGTCGTGCTGGTCGATCGAGTCGCGCAAAGTCTCGTGGTCTTCTTCTTCGATATACAGCTCGTTCAAAGCACTGTTGACGGCCTTGTTGTTGACTTCTTGGATAGAGACAAGGTATGTTCGGATCAAGGGAATGTTGTCGGATTTTTCAAACAGTTGAACGACGCGAGTGTGGTTGATGCGAGGGACCATCACGGCAAGCAGGTCGTTCAAAAGTGTGGGCTGTTCGTTGAGGTAGAATCGAAGTGACTTGTAGTACAATTCAACGTTCGATACCTTGACAATAATTTCCTTGTATGCAGAGTGCTCCCACGAATCGGCAGCATGATCCATCATGGCCTGGACAGCATTGTCAAATTCATCATAGTGTACGTACAGGAACACCAATTCACGCCACAAGTGTCCGTCTGTGCATGCCTTGATGACCTTGGGGATATTGATGCGAGAGACAAACAGCTTGAGGTGCTCCATCATATTTTCAGGGGCGTACTTGGCATACAACACAGCCAATTCGGTGAACATGCCCATGTGTGCGCGTTCCAAACCAAGACCCGCTTCAAGAAGTCGGATCAATTCTTCAAAGTAGCCGTTGCGTTCGTAAACTTGTACCAGTTCTTCCAATTCTTCGGCGTGGACAATGATGTGAAGACCACAGATTTGAGCAAGACGGAATTCGCGCTGCAGGATACATTCAGCATTGACTTCCTTCCACACCTTGGTGCTGTTGGCCTTGCGGGCACAGTCAACGGCGCCCTGGTAGTCCTTGAGCTGAATAAGCGTTGTAGCCAAACTGCCGTGGTTCGAGATGCTAGAGAACAGGATCTTGGCAGCCTCAAACAAGCCGCTTTGGAAACAGCGGTCGCCGACTTGCTGGATGTTGGCAATGTTGGGTGCAGCAATAAAGTCCTCCAGATCAGACAGACGGTCGGTCTTGGCATAAGCAATCAACAATTCGGTTTCAATGTAAGGTTCACGGGACTGCTTGCGAGCCATTTGTAGATAGCGGACCAAGTCTTCGTATTTGTCGTCCATCTCAGCATGACGGGTCACTTCCATGTAGTTCGACATGTCGTTAGCACGGATGTATGAGTCGATGGATTCCTTGACACGCATATTGTCAAGTTGTGCCTTGGCGAGCTTGCTCCACACCTCGGGTTGGTCACAGCGCTCGGAGAATTCGTATGCTCGGTCCAAGTCGCCGATCTTGTCAATAAGCACGTCCATGGCGTGACCATTGACATTGTGTTTCTTGAAGATTGCAAAGGCTTCTTCAAACAAGCTCTCACCAATACAGACTTCGGCAACTTCAGAGGCATCAAAGTTATCGAGACGACCCACATAGTCCATAACACGACCAGGATCGGCCTATATACCAACATTATCATCGCACATAGGAAGTCAGCATACAGAATGAGCAAGCAGTACAAGCAATAATTTTCATACCTTGACAGCAGTGAAAATAAGCAAGTTTTGCAAAATCTTATAATCACTGAAAGTGCTGTTTTCAAGCACAATCTTTTCCAACAATTCGATAAGTTCGTTAGGCAGATCGGCGGCCATGAATGCCTTGACAGTAGCCGAGACATCTTCAGGATCTTGGCACTCGGGTAAAGCAGCAGCAACGATCTGTACATGATAGGGTCATATGTGAATGACTGCCAATCTTAAAAAATGGTTTGTAATATCAATTTACCTGATCAATCAATTCCCGGCGATGTTCGTTGTTTTCCTGAAGAACGGAGGCCCACAAAGGCTGGTCACGACGACGGACGAGGTAACGGGCTTGGTGCTTGAACATGGAGTTTTCATTGGTGATATGAATAAGCTCATAATCACACTGACCCTTCTCGTAACAAATGAAGGCAAGATAAGGATCACGCTTTTCGCAGTACTTGCCGATAGTGCGTGGATCATAGCACTGACGTAATCATATAAAACACGTTAATATTTGTCACACATGCACGTGGGTACTTGATAACCATGCATCAATGTTTACCTCATTTTCCTTCAAGAAAGGTTCAGGGTTGTTGTTGGTATCAATGTAAATCTTGGCCAATGCATTGTACACCTCAGGATCTTTTGATCCATCAGCAACGCGCATGTTGAGCCAGGGCAACAACAACTTGAGACGGTTGCGCTGTTCAACTTCTTCGCAGAGCTTGCCAACAGGGAGGTCACCCTTGACGGACAAAAGAAGGTTCTTGATAACATCTTCATCACAGCCGACATCAAGTAAACCACCAATCACTTCAGGGGTACGAGCAGGGTTCACCTTTTGGACGTATGTCTCGATAAAGTTTTGGAGATTGTTGTGGTACAAGTAAAGCACAAGGTCGTGAACAAAGTTGTAACGGTCGCAGACGATGATAAGTGGGAGCTGATCGCTCAATCTTGCTTCCTATGTAAGCACAATAGGCATATAACATAAATTAAGTGTCCGGCTATCCACAACTTACTGATATCTCTCCTTTTCCCTTCTTCTTTACCTTCAAAAAGTTCTTGACTTTTTCAGCGTCGTAGTAGTTACTTTCACGACAGATGCGTTCGGCTTCACGAACGTTGCCAGTTCTGCACGAAGCCTGGATGTACTTGAAATGTACTAAAGGATCCTGGCTGACATTGACAATGGAACCCAAGTAATAGTACAAGCCTTCATTACACTTGTAAGATTCGAACAGATCGATCAGGTTGTGAGGCTGCAATTGTTCAGAGTACTTGATGGCGATTTGGACAACAACTTGCAAGTTTTGGCGGAGGTTGTTCGAAAGCATTTCCTTAAGACAGTCCAACGTTTGGTCAACCGAAAGCGTGCCAAAGTAATTGACGAGCCATTCAGCGTTCATTGTGTGGGTATGGGGAATGATACGCTTGATATCGTGGATATCGGTGAAATGCTCCAAAGCCTAATAGTCGTAGTTAAAAGTATTGATGAGTGTGTGAGGTGTGCTTCTCACTTTGAGAAATTGCATCCCTGTTATATGCGCACAATAAAGAAAAGAAAAATAATACTTACACGTTGATACAAGCCGGCCTTTTCGCAGAGAGTGCCAACCAAATGACGATCATAGTGGGTAAGCATACCATGGCCCAAGATAGCGTCGGCGACTTGAGGAGCATGCATCAGGTTCATTTCCAGGACACGAGTCTGCAAATTAGCATCTTCAGGGCGGTTGGGGCCGAGATAATCGAGCAAGTACGATGTAGCTTCCTTGATCATGTTTTGAGAGATGAACACATCTGCAACCTAAATTGGAAACGAACCAGTATGAGCTACAAAAGCCTTTTATAATAATCCTATCGTCTCCTCCTTCCAAGTAATGAATACCTTTTCAGGTTCAATCAATGGACCATTTTCATCATTAAGACCGTTGGCAAATTCAAGAGCCTGGGCTGGATCGGTGCGACAAATGTTGTATAACAAAGAAACATAATCCGGGGTATAACCAACAGTCTTTGTATAAGCCAAGAGCTTGTCGTACTGCTTGCTTTCAGCAAAGCAAAGGACCACCTTTTGAGGGATATTGGCGCGCAAATAGACAGAAGTAGCCAATGTCGCATCGTATTGCTTGACGAAATCACCCAATTCTTCACTGCACTCTAGCTTGTCTTCCTTTAACCATTTCTCGAGCAAAGGCTTGCGGTTCTGCGTCAGAATCGGCTTGGCAAGTTCCAATGACTCGTACTTGTTCAGACCACCCTTTTCCAACAAAATACCAAAGTATTGCAAGATGGGTGAAATCTGGTTTTGTTGCGTAGGGATTTGTCGGAAACGCTCAATCGTTTGAGTTGTACGCAAGATACCCTACAAAAAAAGATTCATTCCTTGGTTAGCAAACGTATCCTTTATATGCCCCTCCCAGAAAAAAAATATATCGATGATTGGCAAGTCCCTTACTTTGGGTGAGTTGGCAGCAACTTTAGCAGCCTCTCCATAAGCACCAGACGAGAACAGGTGGTTAAAGCGTTGGATGTACAAATCATCGGCACCAGAAAGGCCACCACGAGAAGCGAGCTTAAGAGCAAGCTCGGTGTTGTTCAAGTTGTTGATGATGTAAGGGATAATAGTGGTTTCATCCAAAGAAACAGAAAGAACCTACATTATTTTTCGCCCAGTTCAATCAATATATTCCTATCCCAAAAATGTGTATCCATAACAACCACTGTACCTGGCCCTTCTTGTTGACACCAATGATGCCGGAGCTGGCCTCATGCTCAGCAGTGACAAAGATGGTTTCGCTACTGATACGGTTCATGTAGATGCACACCCCGGTCTCCAAATCATACAAATGAATGAAACCCATCTTGGTGACCATGTACACGACGCCATACTTGTGGCTAACCTGCATGGCGACAGGGAAATCTGATTGAGCCTCTGGCGGGAAGAAAACCTCGACAGCCTTCTTTTGGAAAGGAGGGTTACCCTCAGGATGATCAACTTCAATGATTTGAAGTTTAGCAGCACCACTGGCAGTGCGAACGACAAAGGTGAACAGCTTGGTAGGATTAGGTGCGTCTTCCAGTTTCAATTCGGCGAATGCAGCTGCGTGGCCCTCAATGTATTGACTGACACCGCGATCTTTGGAATAGAGTTGCATGGATCCGGCAACACGTCCTTGTTGAGCAGAAATGCCAATCAACACAAACCACTTGTGGTCAGACGATGCGCGATAATTGATAATCTGGCAGCCTTCGAGTGGTTGGCTTCGGTCAAACACCTTGACAGGAGCGGACTCGCCTTCAATGGACCAGTGGTATACGGATTTGTCGGTCACAAGACCAAGCGTCTTTACATCGAGCCATTTCCAGAACACTACGTCTTCATGCATCAAATGGGACTTGAGCTTGGATTTTAATTCGAGGTTGAACACTTGGAGTTGGCGGTCAGCTATGGATCGTCATGGTTGTTGTTGTTGTCGTTATTGTTGTACAGTTTCAAATAACAGTGATATTATCTTGTGTGAGTAAATGGATACATCTGTGACAACTATATTGACGCGTTTCTCTTTGTCCCTTCCCCTTTCCGTCACAATGGCAACTTTTAATTTTTTTTCCCTACCTTTAAGCGCCATCACTTTGGTGGTCGGATGCATAATAACCGAATCCGCTGTGATGGGTCGTCGCATGACCTGATTATCATTGGCCAGGTCAATGATGACGACTTGGTTTGCATTGTTGGCTTGCTCACGCACGCAAATGAAGCGATCGGACTCCATGGTGAGCGTGCTGAAGCCAATACTAGCCGCATTCACGCCAAGGCTTTGCAGCTATCAATATAATACACAAGAGGTGTTTATCATCATAAACCTTGTCTTGGCTTGGAGCTCATTCTGTCAGTTCTTATTATAGAATTACCTGAGCATGTTCTTGAAATTTTATAGGTAGTGGTTCACTCATCGTCTGCTTGTCGTTCTGATATCAAGCAAACACCAAGCATATATATTCAATAATCGGAAGGAAAATGGGGAGTTGGGCGCGCGCAATTAAAAAATAGAATGAAGCGTGTGGAATTAAATGTTCAGTTATATAACGAGATAGTACCAAAGTCAAAGTAAGCATTTAAAGCATATGAGACTGTATAGAAAACGAAGGCTGTGTATATACCTTATGACACCCGTTTCGAGACGAAAAGCAGAGACAATAAGGAAGAAGACCGTGAACGTGTCGCAATATACTCGTCGCCCGCCCCACCGATGTCGGAGTTCATCTATTTCAAAAACGTCATGGCCCTTCGGCCTGGTTTTCCTTAGCTTTCGGAAGATCGTCGTGCCACAGAGACCGGCGTAGAATATATGCTGAGCTGCATGTGCATGCTATAAAGTATACGTAAATAATATGGTACTTTTGGGCTTTCTGTGAACTCGTCGTTGTCAATAGTAGATAAAGACTTTTTTCGATCAAAAGCAGGATAATAGCTTATAATGCACAGATATACATCAACCAGTGCTTGGCATCTAAATATAAAATATCTACCCATGAGGCTTGGTGCATCATTCATCTCAGTTTCATACTACCCTATCCAAGAAAACAGTGGATGCATCAGCCACTTCAGCAATCCAGTTCAAGGATACACATATTGTCCAAAAAGGGATCAAAATACACCACTTCTTTTCCAGTGCAAAGAAATAAACAGATGATTGTTATTGTGTCAAGTGAATGAATAAAGTGGGATGGATGGATGAACATGTTTTGCAAAGATATAATAATAGTAGTAAGAATATAGGTAGCTGAAGGTGGATCAAGTACTTCCACACCGATGATGAAAGGGGAAAAGGGGAATGTTGGCCGTTTGTTGGGATTATAGGACATAAGGCAGTAGTAGAGATGAATAATAATGTTACAAATGTATAGTATATGTTATAGAGCAGAGAACGATGGTATATCCCCACTTGCTTCCTCTCCTATCAATTTGCAGGGGTGGGATATTATTTACTATTGTTCCTTGACAGCTGCACGGAGACCAGCCTTGAGCTGTTTCATCAATTGACGACCTCCGATAAAACTATGATCCAATGGACCCCATTCAACTTCCCAAGGTGCACCCTCTTCCAACTTTTCAATTTCAGTCCAATCATCAAAGACTGCTGTATCATCCAGTGGAATATCTCGGCCATTGGCGGTTTTGATGGCAAGAATTTTGCGCGACTTGTATGTGGCAACGATGTGAATACGTTGTGCAAGCGATTTGCCAGTATCTGTTGGATTGACACGGATCCACACTCTATTCCGTTTTGTTATTTTTCAAAAAAGAGTAGTAATTAGTAAATCCGTATATTATTTAGGATTACAAGAAGATGATATTACCTTTGACCTGGATTAACACTGGGAACAGTGATATGGCGATGGTTTGGATCAGCTAGAAAAAACCATATAATGTATTAGCAAACAGATGAACATCTATAACAACTGATTAGACGTATATGCAAACATACTCTTTGGAATTTTTGGTAAGGCTTTCTCGTTACGGTTCATGTTTGACTTTGTTGACTTTGCATCAGAGTCATCGACGTTTTGTGCACTACCACTACCGCTAGCTTCAGTATCCACCTTATAATAGCCATATTCGTTGGAAGGAACTACAAAAGAGAGAGAGAAAAGAGGTTTAGTGAATACGATTTAACTGCTTGGGGGACAATTTGTAAAAGTATATCATACCTTCGTTCATGGATACGTTTGGATAGTTATACAAACTATGAGCACCAGGAACAGGAGTACCAGAAACGGTGCTAGCAAAATCCATGTCGCTCACTACCACTCCGGGTGGTGCTCCAGCACGCAGTACATTGCCTGGGTAAACCTGAGGCGTCATGTATGCCATATCGTCGTAAGAAGCGTGTGCACCATAGGGCATCTGTTGCAATTGTTGATGGTATGAAACAGCACTGCCAGGAGCATCCTGAGGCAATAGTGCACCCGTAGAGCGAGACCGCTGATGATACATTGCGGCGTGGTGAGGAGAGGGAGTATGTCTGGTGGGTGCATCGATCGTCTCTTGTGTTTTATCTTCTTTGGATCTTGGCTGATCATCCGAGTCTTCCTGAACGTCATCATCGTCACCCTTTTTATCGACCAAAATACCAGCCAGACGCGCCTGCATCACACTCACGGAAGGACTGGGTGCATCCGAATTCGACGATTCCTGGCGTTCTAACCATGGGGGAATAGGTTCAATCTTGTTTGAATCCGACTTCATATTCATTTTTTTGATAGGTGCCAAACTGGCGAGCGATGAAAACGTGGGGTCAACGCGCGTTGCTGTTGCTCGTGCAGGTGCTGCTGTTTTCTTGGGTGTCGTCGTGTCGATACTGGGTTTCTTCTGTTCCGAGTTGGATGAAGTCGTGTCAGTGACAGGAAGTTTGGGTTCAATAACAGTGGTCCGTGCCTGTTGCTGTTGAACGGTTTCCTTTTTGGATACTTCTTCAGGAATATCAATGTCCAATAAATGTCCTTCAGTTGGCTTTGGAGTTTCTTTGGCCTTCTTGACCTTGTCTTCGTCGATATGATCTTCGTCTGCAGAGCTGCCGTCTTCGGATGTATCGTAGTCGGATGGCGCATTGAGGTCAACAAGGTCAGCATCGTCAAAGTATTCGGCAGGGTTGAACCCGGGTTCGTTTGCTTTTTGTTTCCCTTGTTCTTCCCCTTCCTCCTCTTCGTCTTCTTCCTTCTTCTTCTTTGATTTCGACTTTTTTTTGTTGACTGGCGCTGGAGGTGTTCGCTTCTTCTTGGTAGGCTTGACTGGCTCTTCCTCTTCGCTTTCTTCTTCTTCACTTTCACTTTCCTCCTCTTCTGACGCTGATGATGATGATGATTCTTCGGTAGCCGATGGAACAACAGCAAAGCTGTCAGCAAAGGGGTCTGCTTCATCATCACTCTTTTTCATTCCACGACGACGACCTTTGTCCTTTTTGGTAACATTGGCGGGACGTAATGTATCCATTTTCTGTTTCGTGGCATGACCGCTGCTGCTGCTGCTGTTACTGCTCTTCCGCTTATACGTAATGTAGTCCTCCTCTTCCCCCTCTTCTTCCTCAACTTCATCATCGCCAATACTATCGGACCAACCCCTTGTTCCTTTGTAATAATTCGATTCTGGAATTGCCGTTTCATGCGGCTTTTGCAGGGCACTTTTCAAAATTGGCGCTGGTGAATGTGTACGCTCGTTGCTGCTGCTGCTGCCATAAGGATTGTTGTTACTATTGCTGTTCTTCTTTGAAGAATTACTCGATAATGGAGAGGCGTGGGTTGCTATGCCGCCGTCGCCAGGGGTGTGTTCGTTCGAATACTGCGACGATGATGCTGTTGCTGGAGATGAGGAGCGATGAACAACTGGAGGAGCAGGCATAGGCATGTACTGAGTTACAGGAGTGGAATTCTCTTGCTGTCGTTGTTGCTCTGGCATTGGAGGTACCACGAACATCATGGGCTCTTTTCTGGTCGGCATCGATGATGGAGAGCCGAATAGCATTGCTCCCTTGGATTGCGCTGGTTGATCTTGATACTGTTGTTGTTGTTGCTGAGCAGGATAAGGCTGCTGTTGCTGTTCAGAGGATTGGTGTTGATGGTATGCTGGATAGGATTGTTGTTGTTGAGCATGGACGGGCTGTGTCTGCTGCTCTGGGTACGATTGATTCTGGTGCTGCTGAGTATGCTCAGGATAAGGTGGTTGTTGATGTTGATGCTGAGCGTAATTTTGTTGAGACTGAGGCGGTATAGACTGTGGCTGCGACGGGTATGGATAGTTGGAAGACGGGTGAGGTGCTTGTGCATGTTGTTGCTGGGGTGGTGATGGCGGGTATGGAGCAGCTGTCTGCTGTGATGGTTGAGGAGGATAGCCCGTTGTTGTCTGTGGTTGACGGGGAAACGAAGCAGATGGAGACGAAGGCGCTGGTGGCGCAGTGTTTGCGAAGGCATGTGGTTGCTGTTGATGCTGGTGCTGCTGATAACCTTGTTGCTGCTGTGTAACCGGAGAATAAGATGGCTGGTGGGCTACTGGCATGGGTGAAGGAGGAGACACATTGCTGTTGTTGTTTTGAGGGTATCCAGCCGGTGTGCTTACTGGCGAAGGAGGAACGTGTTGTTGCGGCGAAGGGGTCGATGTGCCATAGTCGCGTGGTGGCATAGCTGGCGTTGTAGCAACATTACTATAGGCATTATTCGACGAAGATGAGGAGGGCGCGTATGGCGAAGGGGGCACTTCGCGACCTGGTCCAGGATGCTGCTGAGCAGCAGTAGTAGTAGCAGAAGAAGGGCGAGGAATGCTCGACGATGACGAAGGAGAGGATGTGGCTGGGTGGGCCGAAGATGTTGCTTGTGAAGTATTTCCTCTTAAAGAAGAGCTGGATTCTAAAAGAATAATGGGGAAGAGGTTAATAATCAAAAAGAAAAGAAGCCAGAGAACAACACGATGGTCATGAGCATACACACAAACACACAGAAAGAAGTTACATACGCTGATTATATGCTCTCGGCTTTGATGGAAGAGGCGGTGGAGCCCTTGAAACGGCGGGCGACGGTGGCGACGGTTGTTGTCGTGCAGGTTCTGGGGGTGGAGACGGTTCCTGCTGCTGTTGTTGTTGTTCTCGCTGTCGTTCTTCGGCTTCGAACTCTGCCTGTAGTCTCCGCGCTAATTCCTCGTCCGTCAATTCTTGTTCCTGTGCGGGAGGAGCAGTAGGAGGTTGAGATGCAGCCGTCGATTGTCCCCCACTAGCCTCAAGTTCTTCTTGTAACTTTTTCGCCATTTCCTCGTCCAGCAGTTCCTGCTGCCGTCTTCTTTGCATTTCAGTCTTCCATAGCTTCTCTTCTTGGAGTTGCAACTGCTGTTGGAGCTTGAGTGATTTCTCTTTTTTGTGGTCTTTGCTATGGAAATATTTCTTCATTGACCGACTTTGCGATTGTGTGCTTTACAAACGGTGGTGGTGGGGGTAAAAAAAATGGAGAGGGAGAGAAGAGAGAGAGAGTCTGTGTGTGTGTGTGTGTGTGACCTGAAGGATTGGGCTGGCAACTTTATTCGACTTTACCCAATATCGCACTTTTAAATTTATTTTTAACAAAGCTAACCCTTTGACAGGATGGGGGAATGGATGGGCCTTGGCATCGCAACATTTTTATACGCCACACCTTCTTTTTACTCACATGGTTACAGAACAAGCGATCCCCAGATCGGAGTGTAGCATCCTATACATGCATACACACACACACGTCTTGGCTTACAGCAGGAATGAAGTTGGAACGAATGCAAACAAATCATTCATCATTGCCAAGAAAAGAAAAAATAGATCGGCTTTAGCCAATAGAGCAGGATGCTTCCTTTTGAAGACATGTACAGCAACCCCGGTTGTTGTTGTATGATCGATGGTTTCTTCATGACAGTAGCAACGAACAGAAAACAGTGTCATCGAATCACTCACTGCTACATAAGGGGATGGTCTACTACCATTGTCTCTCTGAAGGTTCCGATGATAACTGAATAAGCTGGTTGCTTTTGGAATCTTCACGCACCCTTAAAAACATAGAGCTCTGATGCTAGTACACAGAGGATAAAAGACATCGTTGACTACCACTTGATGGTTGGGCCAAAGCTTTCAGATGCTAGCAGTAAGCTCAACATGTCAACAGCGAGATTTGTGTTATCCACGTAGTATCGATACTACCAACAACCACTGCTAGCTAGAATGACTAAATATCAAAATGTGCAGCGTATATCATCCACTTTTCTCGAGCAAAGCTTGATAGATTAGTGTAAAAGCTGCTCTCATGGGGTGCTCTAGCATAGTAGTGTTAAGGATACCAACACTTATTATGATTGGCTAGAGAACGCGCGCCTTGGATGTATTCTCCTCCGAAACGTATTTTGGATCGCAGTACAGCCCTTCCATTTTAATAAATACACCTTTGAATCTTTTTCCTAAATCATGTCGGATCGAGTATGTTAATCAATCACACTCACTTAATCTTATAGTGTACGACTTTAATATATTAATGCTTATATTGTTTACTTATTAAAACACAGGGAACTCGAGGACATTACAGAGGACGTGGCCGTGGTGGTAGCAGTAGCCGCGGTGGTGGTCGCGGTGGACATTACGGCGGTCAACAACAGGACAAGCCAAAGAAAGAATCGATTTTAGATCTTTCGAAGTATATGGAGAAGAAGGTTCGCGTACGATTCAGTGGAGGCCGTGAAGGTACTTTATACATTTAAGCTTGATCAACCCTCTCTTTTTTTGCGAATTTACCTTTTTCTGTTACGCGCTGAATTTGGCTCATATATGTGGGAATTATTTTAATCTTTGAAAACGGGAAATAGTGGTTGGCAAACTCATGGGTTACGATCCGTTATTAAATCTTGTACTCGACGAGACAATCGAATATCTTAAAGGTTAGCAAAAGAAAAGGGGAGGGCTTGAGTGTTCGGGGTGGTGGCGTTCGACTCGGTACTAAATGAGGAATTGGTGTATTTGCTTGCATAATTAGATGACGAGACCGGATACATTACCGAAAACACACGCGTGCTCGGCCTGGCAGTACTTCGAGGTACTGCTGTGATCTTGATATCGCCATTCGACGGTAGCGAAGAGATCGAGAACCCATTCGTTGCACAATAAACAGACACACACACGCACACAACTACCATATCCCCCCCACCTCTACCAATTCTCTTCACAATTGCATGTCTACCAGCCTCTCCGACTTCCTTGAAGATATATAATAAAAAAAAAACAACGTCGCTCATCCATGTATGTACATTACGATATTGGAAAGGTTGGGGGGACGGAATAGATCTATCTAGAGGTTCAACTTTAAAAGAATTGGAGGGTTTGGATCATACGAAGGACACATGACAGAGAAGATATGTCGTGCTTCTTATTTGTGATGGTATCCCATGAATGGATGCATGTATCGAAACATGAAAGATGTGTTGTAACAGCTGTGATCTGCTTCCGCATCACAGCAATAATAGTCTTCGTCACTTAAAGGTCCCTCAACGGTAAATTCGTCTGAATAGCCATTGTGAGGAATAATTTTCCTAATATGGATCAAACCATCGCTCGTTAGTCAGAAACGAAATACTGCATATGCTGCTAACACATGGATCTTAGCATGACGTACCTTGAGATGAATTCTTTATGGTGGCCAAAGTATCCTAGACGGTAAATGCCAGCTAGATGGCAACATCACAGTTGTTAAGTCTCTTTTCATGCCCTCTATTAAACCAACAATTAGTTGTTTCTACTAACCTGGAGTATCTCTTCCAATATCCCACTCGACAACGGCTTCGGATTGACCTAATAATCGATTTGTGTATTTCCACCGGAAACGTGTATCATAGTCATGGTCGTTTCGAACAACTTGCCAATCACCATTTGGCAATTTTCTTTCGACAGTCAAGAACGTTTTCCCAAGCATGACATCGTGTCTTGGATTGCCTGCAACAAACGTTGCAGAAACTGTGGTACCGCTCATGCCATACAGAGTAGCGATCTCTCGGTCGCGTTGTGTTGCTTTTACGTTTCGAATCACATTGCCGAATTTTTTCGCCACCCGTGGACGGTCAGGCCATGCACCCGGCACCAAGCTGAACGCCTTGCTGGTCAAATCGGGAAGCTCTTCAGAATCGACAACGAGTCCGTTGGTTGCAAGTGAAGTGGCCAGTTCTTCAAACACTTGGATATATGCGTCTAATGTGTAAGGGCCGTAGGCAGTCTAATACACATGGATGCAAATAGTAATATGTGTGTCGTTCGTTAAATTTGATACTAGAGCATGAAGATACAGAGAAGAATAAATACTTACAGCTCCTGCTTCAAAACGTTGCATCTGGTACTCTTCATAGGTTGTAACATAAGACTTTAAAAAAACATGTGTCAGTCATTTAAAACGGACGCCCAACCACGTGAATGCTATATAGTGCTCTTTGATCCTTTCTTTTTGCTCAAGCACACACTTACTGCATATCCATTTGCTGGGCCTGACAGAACAACGGCCGTTTCGTTATTGCCAGTTCCCATTTCAATCAGTTTTTCTTTGATAGCCTTGCGAAGACGACGGCCGCTCATTGTCGTAAACTCTGCGGGGACAGCGGCAATGTAAAAATTACCAACTCTAAATAGCTGTACATCAAGAATATGCGGCTGCCACTCATAAGGAAAGGTCATTTCACCCGTATCCAGAATGACTATCATATCATAGATTTAGCCAATTAGCCATTTACTCGAATACTCGACTAGAATTTGGCTGCATATCGTAAAAGGAGACGTACCAGCCTTTGGAGCTTGACATTCAACTTGCTGTTTGCTTGGCCGCTTCACAATATTCTTGAGCAAATCCCAAAAAAATGTTCCATGCGTCATGTTCTAATAATACATGTATAGTTTTTACAGCGTCAGGCTACGATCAAATATACCCGTGGCCCCATGCATCACTCTTACCTGATAGATACCGTCAATTGCTGGATTGTCAGTTGTTCCGGCAGCTGTGTAAAAAGAAAACGTCATTGCTGTTCGTTAAAGATCATGCTACACTGCATATTTAAAAATCAAATAATTACCAAATCCATAACCCTAATAAAAGTAAAAATAAAAAATTGTGACCTTAAGTAAAACAAAACGCATCTACGGCTAATAGATCAAAAGAAACGAAAGATGACGTACCATGGCTGCTCGACAAGGTGTTCCTACTGTGCCATCAACTTTCCTGATCTGCGCTTTCGTAATATCCCAGTACTTTTGTCTAAAGTCCACTGGTCCATCAAGTTTATGTGTAGCCTCCTTGAACAACTTTGTAGCCATATCCGCCTGGTTTTTTCCAATGATCCGGTTTGATTCATAGTCACTGACTTCCCAACCAGGGCCCCTATCATATTATGTTGAAGAATTGCTCGAGTCAGACGGAACGACTCCCTCTTTTCTTATCACCAACTCAAAAAGGTCCATCACTTGCCTTCCAAAACACTTTGATGATCCAGGGCACTTTGTGTCAAGCGATCCATCACATGGGATTTCAGTTCCTGAACAATAAGCGCCAGCTGTATTGGGACTGACGTCTCCCTCATTGGATTGCGCAAATCCAGCCACGAATGGGCCCTTGCCAGCAAGTTGTTCTGGCCCACCGTTGAAATGATGTTCTGCTGCATATGCCGCATACCCCTTGTTGTCACCATTTACCAACCGGTTTGAGCTGTTGACTGACACGCCATGTACAGCAAACCTGTGTAGAAATCCAGTTCTGTTAGGTTTTGGGTATGAAGAAAACGACAGCATCCTTTCCTTTTCGTTTATTTTACCAGTTGACAAATCCAATGTCCTTGTGACGCGTGTGAAATCCCAACAGAGTCATTGTCTTGTCAACGTCATACTTGTATTGGGCACGTTCCTCCGGAGGATTTAGTAAATATGCCTTGGGAGATCGGTTAATGTTGGTATCCAGTAATTCCCCGGAGTTGAGCGTGATATGGCCGGCTTCTAAACGTTCGTGGGCCTGGACAATTGCTTGAACGATACCGTCGATCATCGGTCGAGTGGTTTCTTCGATCCAGCCTTTGACAGAGATTTCAAACAGCGCTGGAAAAAAGGGGAATGATCATCCATCAGCCATCAGCAAGCAACAACAGCATGATTGTCGCAAAAGGAACGAATACTTGTCGTCGTCATCACCACCATCACCCTCATCCATGATGATCAGCTGCCCCCTGTTTTCTTTTTCTCTCTCACTTTTGAGGACAGTGCCCTTGGTTGTACTTACTGTATTGGAGGTAGCCACCCATGCTACTGTGTGTGTGCGTGCTGGAGAGCATGACATTTTGGACGGTATACGTTTCGTTCCCATACAATGCTTGCAAGCATTCCACGACTCTTGATTTCACAATATCGCCCATTGACTGAGTGTCGGTGTTAACAAAGACGACACGCTTGTGCGACGCTGGATCGTGTACAATGTATGCCCGTGCGTAGATACGTTGAAGCAGGCCTTGACCCACTTGCGTCCACTCGGCGTATCCCATAAAGG